CAAAGATGAGGCTGAGGGGTGCAACCTCGGACAAATCAGCGATCATCTGGCTTCTTGCTCCTCTGCACCCTCCATGCCTAGCACAATGCCGGCATGCGGTAGGTGCTTATTAATATACTAGTGGAGGTGGATGAGAATCCACCCACCTGGAGAGAAGAGAAAGGCAAAGATCCAGAAGGGATTCCTGGAGGAAGTACTCAAGGGATCCATCGTAGTAAATATTTACTGGGAGGTCCGTGCATCAGCTGTGTACCTGGCACCTGTGAGAAGCCTAGTGTGTGCTCATGATGGTTAAAGCTATGGCACCAGTGAGTTCTCAGGGAAAAAGGAACTCAAAAAGAGAAGGCTGAGCAGACAGCCAAGGATCCAACTGGAAATCAAACCCACAGCAAAGAGAAATTCATTCCTTGGCAAGGTCAAAGGATTTCTCTCCCTGTCGCCACTGGAGAGAAATTCTTCCCTGGTCCATGTGGGTGGGGAGCAGAGAGGCAGCATTCAGAGCAGAAGTCCAGGGCTGAGGACAAAGCAGGGACAGACACCAAGGCCTTGAATCAGTAATTCCAACAGATCTTGCTGAATGTGGTCCAGAGGGTTCCTGAGTTGGGCTCTTTGGTTTTAAATCCGTAGATATGGATGCAAGCAGGAGACAGCAGACCGGAAACCCCCGCCTTGACTCTGCCCTCCACCCGACTCTTAGATAATTACTACACCTATGCACCAGGATGTCCTTGCACCTCGTACAAGCTGTCACCTTAGGATCCATTTATGATGGAAAAGGGAGGGAGCGCTTTTTAATTTTGAAACTCTGACCTGAAGGAACATTTCTACCCTCAAAAGGAGCGATGGCTTCTTCGACAATTGGACAGAAATGCCGACATCCTCACCCTGCAGACTGCGGCAGTGACATCTGCCTCTGCTTAGCTTCTCCCACCTTCTCTCCACCCCAGACCTTCAAACAGGTGCAGTGACAGCTGGAGGGATTCAGTGGGGCTTCTCTGACCCTCAGCTGTGTGCAGCCCTGTGGCTCGGCTGTGGAAATGCCAAGAGAGAGGCACGAGGAAGGCGGGTGCCTGAGCACACAGGAAGTCTCAGTCTTTTCCCGCGGGAGCACAGTAGAGCAACTCCTGGCTTTACTCAGCCGCCCCTGGCAGCCCACATGGCCTAGAGGGGACAGTGGTGGCCCTCCTAGGCTGGCCACAGCTCACCCTGTGGAACCCTTCTCTGATTCTGTGGCTCCCGCCTGGTTTCTGGGTGTGAACAGATCAACCTCAGGTCCTCCTGCTCTCTCTGCTGGGAGCCCTGTGTAAGTCACTGAGTCTCAGCTTCTTCTTTCATCCAGAGGGGATGATGATAGCCCCGGAGTCACAGGCTTGCACGAGGCGTGAATGGAATGAGCCTGCCTGGGGACTTCTCAGCCCTGTGCCTGGGACCTGGCAGGTGCTCAGGAGTGTGAAACATGCTGGCCCAGATGGACCAGGGTATCCAGCTTGGCTCTGCTGGTTTCTGGGTTCAGGCTTCCACACAAGGCTGTTTAGATCAGTGGGTTTTTTTGTTGAGGTTCTGTGTACTCTTTCTTTTCAATCCCTTTTTCCAACCAAAAGATCCTCTTCAGCTGGGCCATTCTGACAAAAGGTAATAAAAGCTGCGAGTGCATCCAATGACGGTCATGAACTGGGCTCTAAACTCCACCTGTATCTATCCCTCCAGACGTCCCCAACTGTAGCTCACCATCATCCCCTTTGTGAGGGAGGAAATCGAGGCACGGACTTTACCTCCCCTGAGGTCACACAGCACATAAGTGCTTCCAGCTGCGATAAAATTCATGATTTTAAGCTCCCTGCCCCTACCTGCCTACCTCCATATCAGCCAGTCTCTGAGTCCTTCTGGAAGGACATAAGCACCAGGATTCCTTGTGGCCATCGTCGGTGTCCCAAAGCATTGACCAGCCCAGGGGTCACACTGGTATTCTCTTCTCTGGGAAATGCCTTCTGTAGTCACTTGGCCATTTCTTGCTCATCCATCCACATCACACAGGACATCACTTCCCAAGCTCCTGAGCTGCTGTATGGGAGCAGCGGTCTGTGTCTATCTTTACCCCTGTCTCCCTGTCTTAGTATTTTTGTGCTGCCATAATAGGATACCACAGGCTGGGTGATGGAGAGTGATCAGAGATTTTTCTGCTTATAGTTCTGGAGCCTGAAGACAAAGATCAAGGCACCAGCAGGTTGGACATCTGATAAAGGCCTTATCTTCACTTGCAAGGTGGCTTTTTGAACACTGTAGCCTCCAGAGAGAGGAACAGTTATGGCAGAACAGAAGCATAGCAAAACAGGAACCAATGTGGGCATGGTGGCACATGCCTGTAATCCCAGCACTTGAGAGGTGGAAGTAGGATTGCCATGACTTCAAGGCCAGCCTCAGCTACATAGTGAGTTCAAGACCAGCTTGCACTACACAGCAAAACCTTGTGTTTAAACAAAAAAGACAGGGACCAGGAGGGAGCTAGACCTGCCCTTTTTAAAGATGCCTATTTCCATGGTAATAAACCCATATCTGTGATGCCAGCATCAATCCATTCATAACAGCAGAGTCCTGATGGCCTAACCACTGCTCAAAGTTCCACCGCTTAGCGCTATTGTAATGATGATTAAGCATCCAACCCATGAAGGGTGTCGGGGGTGGGCATTCAAACCACAGCACTCCCCTGGGGCCCACAGACTCCTGGATTAGGGTGAACTGGGACCTTTGTGTCCAGCATGAAGCAAGCACCCAGCAAATAGTTGTCAGTGGCTGAAAGTTTAAGACACATGTGTGTGACCCTGACCTGGGCCTCTCCTATAATCTGATGGGGTGGGGGAGCTCTCTGGAAAATAGAAATGGCTTAACCTCAATGTTAGCAATCATGTGGTCCAACTCTGGATGTACACATATTTAAGATGAAATTTAATCGTAAATCTATTGACTAAACTCAATAGACTGCTCCCCAGAGCTGCCTGTGAAGGTGATACTTCCTTCATGACATAGGCTTAAAGGGTTATGAAGTCTTCAGTTCAGAGTGGTGAAAAGACCATCCGTTTTGGAGTTAAACTAAACCTACGGTTGAATTCCAGCTGGGCCTATTACATAAGCTTGGGCAAGGTGGCTCCATCTGTAAACCTCAGTTTCTGCATCAGAAAAGTGAAGTTCAGAGTCTAGCCTCACAGGGTCATTGTGAGGATTAATGATAAAATTGCTCTGAAATGTGAGCTCGCTTTCCAACAAGCACATAGGTACACATGTGGGATGACAGTCTGAAAGTGTTTTCTTCCACTTTTTATCCATCCCTTTAATCAAGCAATATTTGTTGGAGTCAGTGTATGTCCATGATGAAGAAAGCAATATGATAATAATGCTGAACATAACAATAAACAACACAAATATAGTCCCTAAGTCATGTTTTAGTGGAAAAGCCAGTTAATAACTAAGCAAAGAAGCAAAACAATTGTAACCTGTAATGGTGACTAAAAAGTCCTCCATATCTAGACACTGATCCATAAAGGGAAGTAAAGCAAAGATTATTTAAGTGGAGGTGGACCTGCTGCTCTTGATGAGGTAGACAACGTGGTTGGTTACAGGTCCTCCGGGGAGATGAGGTGGGTGTGAGGCCTGGTGGATGAGAAGAAGCCAACTCTAAAGCTAGCTGGGGAAAGGCTCTCCAGACAGACATCACAGCAGCCAAATTAGTATCTGAGCCTAACAGATACACATGCAGTTTCCTAGTCAGTGACATTAGGGAAACTGGAACCATGCCCATAGTACCTGGATTTCACTGGGGTTGAGTTAGAGGTTAAAAAAAATGAAGATATCTGCTAAGACAAGATGATTCTACATGTTCACAGACTTGGAAAAATATCACCCCTGTCTGAACAGAGTACAGCCAGCTTCAGTAGGGATCTCTGTGGGCAGGATGTCCCCCTTACAAGCTCCTGTTTTACAGCTCCTCCTATGTGATAGGGGCAGAAGCCCAGTAAAAATCTGTTCAGTGCATTGAATGAGGGAACCAATGGAGGTACAGCAAAATGAATAGACATCAACCAATGTTTTGTCTGCCCACTGGAGTTCAAATATAGGTTCTCTCTACCACACAGCCTTCCATCACTAAAGGAAGATTGTCTGTTTAACCCTCTTCCTTTACACATCAGTTTTAGATTGGACCTTGAAGTTAGATGAATGGAAGCTTATAAGTTGGATCAGTGTGTCTCCCTGACAGACCAATAGCCCCATGAGTATAAGAACATGTTGATTTGGATCCTGACTCTATCTCAGCACCTTGGACAGAGACTGGCGAATCACTGTTGCTTCACAAATAGGAATTGTAAACTGATTTACTGAATGATTATTCTCCGGCAAGCCTGGGCCAAACACTCTCTTCTTACATGGCTCTGCTTTACAAAGGAGAAAGCTAAGACTCAGAGAAGCTGAGTGAGGCATCAAGGTACAAACTCAGACCCTCTGACTCCAGCGTCTTTGTGCATCTATCTATGCCAGGATGGTTCCTGGCATCAGACACCAGCTAGAATCCTAGCTTGCTCCATTTTGGGGAAACTCTTACATAGAAAGTCTCTTACTGACATTGGTTGGACTTAGGACGTTCAGACTTTAAGTGTGTATGTGAAAGCAATATGCATTCAATAGAACCCACTAAATTTGATCTTTTACTGGGCTAGCAATAGGCCTCTCTCACAATGCTGGGCAAAAGCATCAAATTACAGCAGGTATAGCTGCATTCAGACCTGTATTGCTGAGCTGTGAGTTAGGTGGATTAACACATTTTCAACTCAGGATATTTTCAACTAACTCATCACCCCACAGTAAGTTGAGGATCATTTGTAGTTCGACCAGGAGGGCAAGCCTACCTCCCTGGACACTCACTGTTCCCGAGTCTGGGAGTGAAGTGATAGGACCCAATGGTTTGATCCCTCAGAGGTCATAATATCTTGCTTTGTTTTCTCACCATTTAGGATCTCTGCAGAAGGTGTGGACATCGTCTTGGATTGCCTGTGTGGGGACAACACTGGCAAAGGTCTCAGTCTTCTCAAGCCCCTGGGGACCTACATTTTATATGGTGAGTGCCACATAGAAGCAGGAAGGAGGGGCCGGGGATATAGCTCAGCAGCATAAGCACTTGCCTGGCAAGCCTAAGGTCATGAGTTCAATTCCTGGTACCTAAACAAAAACAAAAACAAAAAAATAGAGAAGCAGGAAGGAGATGGCCAGCAACAAAAATACTGTACTTGTGCCAAAGACAGCTTAAGAAAGTGAAATGTATTAATATGTTAAGCTAGTGGGATCACATGTGTGGAAGGGAGATTTTTAAAAATACATTTAACAAATTGATATTACTGTTAGTTGTTTCCATTGTCAAAGTAACTCAGATGCCTATATCCTTACAGCCTGTCATTTACAAGGGGCTGTAGCAAGGCTAAGCCAATGTAGTAATAGTGATGAGTAAAACTATTAAGGAATTTTGAGCCACAGTGGGTGGAACAGGTGGAAAATACCACTGGCTTCAAAGGAAGTTCAGGAAATAAAGGCATGAAGGACACACAGTAGGATGGAGGAGGATGGGTAGGAGGTAGGAGGCTTAGGAGGATTCTTCTCCATTGGTGATGAAAAGGCGGAGCCCAGCTCCCCTTCCTCTACACCTGTTCTGAATGTCCCATGAAGACATGCTCGGGTGGATGGAGCACATGTCTACCCCAGCTGCTCTGCCTCTGCATCCACGTCTGTGCTCTTGGGCGTGCAGGAGATTTACAGAAGGTTTGGGAGCAAGTTTTCTCCAGCAAAATGAGACTCTGTAGCATCATTCCCACTCTTCCTTTTCTTTTTTTCTACCTCAGGCCTGCAAGCTAATTTAAACATCAGCCTCCACAAGGTCAAAAAGACATATAGGAAGCCAGTTGTCATTTCCCAAAGCAAAGTGACACTCGAGTTATGATATTTGAGATTCTTGGCACCTCTGTGCCCTGTAGGTATAATAGAAATTGAGCCCTCATTCTATGTAGCTCAGTAAAAAAATACTCATTTTCCTGCTATTAGCTGAAGAGCTTATGAAAGAAATATTTCAGGGGTATAAATATCTTTTTATTATCATCAGATCATTACCACAAAAAGAGAGAGAGAGAGAGGTGAGTAAACATCCATTGCTAGAGTATTCTGATAATTTCTACTGTGGCCACGTTTTCTTAGAAGTAGATACATTATCATTATTATTATTATTATTATCATTATCATTAACAAGAGAGCCCCTGAAAGCCAGAGGACTTTGTAAGGATATAAGATATGTCTGATAAACTGCAGGTGGGCAATGTATTCATCATTACTTACCAGTTGCTAAGAGTTGTTTTTTGTCCCAGTTCTGTGATGTCATGTTGGTGAAATTTGATTTCACTATCTCACAGTTATCTAACTCATGATGTTGATTCCTTGGTTACTACATTATAGAAGTCTTGCTCTGTGATGTCAACAGAAGCAGTGATTAACTAACTTGCTACTAGTTTACGAAGGCCAAATAATTAAATTTAAAATATGCATTATTGTTTCCTTAAATCACTGTTCTCTAAGAACTTACTCTCAAGTCCTTGGGAACAAACCAGGAAAATCATTGAAAAACCTTCAACATGGTGTCTGAATGTTTGCAATACTGTTAAAAATTCTCTCATCCTCCCACCTTAGGAGCCCCAAAAGGGGTCTTTTCTCTCTGTGTGAGCGTTTTAGGGACTCTTTCTCAACTCCACCCCTACCTGCCCCTGGAAAAGTGCTTCTTCGAATTAGCAAAACTCAGTTTCTCATCTGCATAGCTCAAGTGGTTCTCACGCCTCTGCCCAAACCTCATGGGTGCTCCACATCCCATTTTCTTGGCATCTGACCCTATTTCTACCCTCATCTGTGTTCTTCTGCACTTCATTTTGTACCCCACCAAATTCCTTCCGCCTCCCCTATCACTTAGGTGACCAGCCTAGGTCAGAGCTCCAAGTCTCTCGCTTGCCTGGGAATCAGACTCAGATCCATAAAGTAGGTTCCCAGAGGAGTTCATTTCTCAGCCCCAAAGAACAGAACCAAGAAGGCATTTCAGCAGCCTATCATTTCATTCAAATATTGACCTACATCGCCCTTTCCTGCATACCCAGTTTTCTAAAGTAATGAAGCAATCACCATGATGAATGCTACTTCCTCTTTGAACCAATGACATCAAGCTAAAATAGTCACCTTGATACCCTGCTCCCATTCCCCCATTTTTCTAAAAGAATTAAATTTGCTTTTAAGATTTTTGCCACTTTAGCACCAAACAGATCTTTATTACCAAGAGATGTTGATTTTCATTGGCTTGAGTTGGGAATCTTTCATTTGCAGGTTCGTCCAACATGGTAACCGGAGAGACCAAGAGCTTCTTCAGCTTTGCAAAATCAGTAAGTGTTCTTGCACATCTAATGTGCTGTGCTGTTTGTGTGCTGTATGCTCCTCCCTCCCAAGACACTGACCCAATTTTGCTGGTTGGCAATTTGCATCATTCATTGTTAATGCAGCCTACAGCCTGGCACAGAGCAGGACCAGGACCTGGGGGACCAGTGAAACCCAAGAAAGCTTCGTTTTGATTTCTGTCGGGACTGGGTTTAGTGTTTTTAATCATGAGTCAGAAATGAACTTAGTAACAGTGCATTTTATTTGCCCCACGTGGTGGCCAGCCTTTCAGTTTGCCCACTTTCTGACCGCGTCTGTGGGGATTCCTGAGATTTCTCTGTACGCCCATTCTACTGAGTTCAAGATGCAAATAGAAAATCCCACTTCTTCAACAATCTCTGCATGTGTGATCACTTTGTCTGCCAGTGAGAAGTCTCATCTCTGGGCATTTGTCCCACTATCCACCTACTCAGATATAAATTCCCATCTAGAGCTCTGCATACTAGAATTAAATTAATCTAGGCTTATATTTTCATTTCCACACCACATAGTAAAAGACCACTGCTTCTCGCAAGGGCTGGCTTTTGTCCCCTCTACTCTCCACCCCTGGTACAACCAGAGCAGCCCTACGTGCATCACACTCTTTTCAAGCATTTTCTGAGCACCCGCTGCTTTTGACACTGCCCCAGGCAATGGGGTATCACAGTGAATGAGATGAGATGGGGGTGCATGTGGGCCTATGTAGCTCTTGTGTTCTAATGAGAGAGACAAACTGAGCATAAGTAAGACACATTAATGGCATGATGTAAATGGCCACCAAACCTCAGGAGAGGGTAAAAGCAGTTCCTGAGCTAGGAAATGGCAAAATGTGACAGAGGCCTTTGGAACAGAACGGTCAGGCTAAGCTTTAGGAAGATTAGACTTCATTGTAAGTGTGGCCTGGTGGGGCATGCAGGTGCTTCCTAAACACCAGTGCTTGCAGCCAAAAACTTCACCCACAAAGCATTCCTGAAGGCTGGAAGACCACTCCTGCCTGCACCTGTGAGACTGGAATCTAAGGGCCTCTTTTTGCACTGGGGATTTCAAGTCTGGGTCAAGGATCAATTGGATTAAAGGGTCTATGGGAGGTGCAAGAGTGGGACCTACGCAGGGATGCAGTCAGCCTCAGGTCCTTGAAGACAGGCTCTGTGCCACTCACAGCTGTTCATGCTGGGGTTACCATTAATATGCTGCCGCCGGGATGCTGTGGATATCCAAATTATGCACAATTGTAAGAACTATTTTCCTTCTCCCCTAACTCATGATCCCAGCACACACCACTAATGAAATAATTGCAGTGTGCCATGCTCATAATGCCCTTCATACTGCATAGCCCAGAGGGAGACCGGTTTTGTTTCCCAAATCAGGAGTGCCCATTATGCTTGGTAGCTGGAGGCCCCGGATGAAGGATTTCTTTCCCATCAAAGGCCTGAATCCAAGCCAGTCAGTGGGTTTGAAGTAAATTGAAGAGGGCATTGCCAAGGAGCAGAAAGATGGCTCTGCTCTGAGGGGTTCTAGAAAAAAATTCTTCTCTGTACATTTAAGAAAGGCATATTTGGAATCATACAGAGATTTCTCACTCACCACCTTTGCTACAGTCCATCTTAACAGTGCTGGGGAGTTTCTGCTGCACTCTATTAAACATTTGCTCTCAGGCCATAATGATGATGAGACAAACAGATGAGGTTCACATTTAGAGAGCAATCTGACTCCAGATTTGGAGCTCTTATTCACTAAATCAAAAACACCCCTTGGGGCTGGGGATTTAGCTCAGCGGCAAAAGCGCCTGGCTGGCAAGCGCAAGGTCATGAGTTTGGTTCCTGGTACCGGAGAAAAACCAAACAAAAACAAAAACACCCCTTTCAAATTAAGATAACGAGAATTGTCCATGGAGTACCTAGTACATCAGACACTGGTCTCAGCACATTATATATATAAACACATTTGCCATTCACAGTAGCCCCCTGACATACAGAGAGGAAAGTGACCCCAGAGAGGTTATATTCCTTGCCTAAAGTCACACAGCTAGTAAATAGCATCAGCTCTAGAATTCTGTTAACCACAAATGTGCAAGAGTTGCATATCTAGCAAGCATTCATTCCACAAACATTGCAGCCAAGCCACAAATCAAGCTGTTAACCATCTTTCTACCTTTGCTTTGTGGCAAGACTCATGGACAAATGTGTGGCTCCTTCTGAACTATGCCCTTCCCATGCACCCTTGCCAAATATATTTTGGTAAAGTATTTTGTGTATCAATGCATCCCTGTTTTCAACCTGTCTTTCCATGCTTGTTTCCCCCATGTGACTTTCCTAATCTAGGAAAGTTTGTTTGGGGGGAACTTTTTTACTTTTGTGAGCCCCCTCAATTCTTTTTGGAAAGAGGCAGAATACAAATAAGCATATTACTAACATAAATAATATGACTGTCCCAAAGTGACCCCTACATTCCTCTTTGCATTCAAAACTGATACTAAACATTTTCCCTGGTAGAACCCGCCCAGAAACTAGAAGTCTGAATATCTAGCCTATACCAGCCCCAGAGGAAAAGCCACTAAATCAGCACAGAGGAGTCGGGGAACCATTTCTGTAGGAGGCTGATGGATTAGGGGTTTATTTTGATGTCTGAAGCAGGGAGAGGAGAGACCTGAAATAAGATCGCCACATTTACCAGTTGTGTGGACCCCACTTCAGGCTTTAGTCAGCGGTTTCTCAGCTTTAGTGCTGTCGATGTTTGGGGCCAGGCTGTTCCTGGTCCTGAAAGCCATCCTGGGCATTGTAGCATGTTCAGCAACATGCCTGGCTTCTTCTGACTAGATGCCAGCAGCACCCTTCTTGCCAGTAATCAACCAGAAATACACCCCAACATTATTAAAGTCTCTGGGAGGTAAAGCTTCCCCCAGCTGAGAACCACAGCTTAGCTCCAACACTGGGCTTCAGTTCTTCACGCTGTTTTTTCTCCCTAAAGCACCCTTCCTTGCTCTTCCTTACCCAATCGTCCTACCTACCTGTCCAGGTCCAAATGTGTCCAACCCGCAGCCCAGCAGCTGCTTGCTCTTATTTTTTAAAAATGTTATGATAAAAATATTTTAAAATAAAGGAAGTTTTGTTACTTAGGTACGTTAACTGTATCGTCTCTCATCTATCATATATGGCCCAAGGCAGCTCCTCTTCACTCCATTCAACTCAGGCAAGCCGATGACCTAGGCAAGCTCTTGTCATTTTTCCCCTCTCAGGAAATCTGCTCCTGCAATCATGGGGTCACCTCCACCACCACCACCCCCAACATTTATAAACTTCCTTTGCCAGCCGCATCATCACCACCTCATGTTTTACACGTCCTTCTCCCAGAAGATGTAAGAAGCTGTGTTCTGTCTCTGTGATCAGTTGAGAAAAACAAAGCACAGATAGGTAATACCGGGGAGTAGGTTGATAAGCCAGGATCCAATTCCAGAGCTAGTGGCTTTAAACACATGCCTAATGTTTCAACTGCATATGGCCTGATACAGGGTGAGTGTCCCTTATCCAAAGTCCTTGGGGCCAGAATTGTTTTGGATTTGGGAATTTGGAGAGGGGATATTTATGCATATCTAATGATGTATCTTGGAGGCAAGACTCAATTCTAAACATGGAATTCATGTTAGTGTCATGTGCATTTTATCCACATCAGCCTAAAGATGATTTCAGACAATATTTTCAGTATATGTGCAATTTGACTGCAACATTCTTCTGTGGCATGTTGACACTCAAAAAGTTTTAGATTTGGAGCATGATGAATTTGGGGGTTAGGGACACTTGGTTTTGGGTCGTGTCTCCCACCTCCATCTTGAGCTTTGCATAGACATCTCTGTCTCTAACGATGCCCAGCAAAGACAGATACTGAAAAAGTAAAACACCAAGAACCACCTTAGGCCAGCTAGAATTTCCCCAGCTCCGCCCCCTGCCCCTTTTCCTGTAGCCAATGACATTGGCAGTGCCTCTGGTGTGACCCACTGAGGAGTCTGTAACCAGCACCGTCTCTCCTTCCAGTGGTGGCAGGTGGAGAAAGTGAACCCCATCAAGCTATTTGAAGAGAACAAAGTCATCGCGGGGTTTTCCCTCTTAAACCTGCTCTTCAAACAGGGCCGTGCAGGCCTCATTCGAGGAGTGGTGGACAGACTCCTAGGACTCTACAACCAGAAGAAGATCAAGCCCGTGGTAGACTCCTTGTGGGCCCTGGAGGAGGTAAGAGTGGGGATTTTCCTCCCCAGGCAACCTCTGCTCTTAGCCAATGCTGGTGTGGGCAACTGGGTGCCATCATGTACTAAGGACTTTCCTTTGAATTTGTTTTAACTGCGGGTCCTAACAGTCACTGTCCCCTTGGATCAGGCTTTGTGTGTAAGAAGTGTTTTAAGCTCTTCAGTGGTTTTCAAACCACTGACCTGGCTGCAAGATCTGTGCCAGTCTCCCTTCTTTCTCGGGGAGACCATGGAAAGTCGGGGGTGCGTATAATCCCTCCGGCGCATAAGAGAGTATGTACATTGTCACAGTGCCATGAATATCGTCACTTTGGGGTATAGAAAAGATCGAGGTCAGGGTTGACAATAGCTCAGAGCTGAAATGATCTGTGTGTTGTGCTGAGCTGGTGCCTTGAGCTCCTGTGAGACACTGTCTGCTGTGGCCCTGGATACTATCATTCTGCTGGATTGTTGGGTCTGGTGTTGGACTGAATGTTTTCATTATGGAAGCTGCCAAAAGTTCTGGTATTTGAAAGCATTCATTGATCATGAAAAAATTAAGGACATTGAGTGTTACTTTCAAGGATGCTGAAACGTGAGCAGGTTCTGTGGGTTCCCGTGGTACTTATGGGGGCTGTGGTCTAGATGACCCTCAGCACCAAGGAAGGATGGCTTAGGGACACATCAGGGCACTTCCTGGAGGACAAATGAAGGGTGGGGTCTGGATTCCAAGAGACTCTTTGTAAGAAACTAAGTTGGACTTCCACAACCTTGACTTTGGGAGCTGTGAAACCCCTACACAATTCTTCTTTATTTTCTTTGTGCATATTAGTTATATAGAATAATGGGATTATTTTGTATTCATACATGCAAAGAGCATACTTTGATTTTTTTTCACCCTCTCCCACTACTCTCCACCTCCTTTCTTCCTCTACTTAAGATAAAGGAACACTCTACACTGTTGGTGGGAATGTAAACTAGTACAGGCATTATGCAAATCAGGATGGAGACTCCTCAGAGAACCAGAAGTAAAGATACCAGTTGATCTGCTCAACAAATGAATGGATAAAGGAAGGTGGCATATTTATACAATGGAATAGTATTCAGTCATAAAGAACAAAATCACATCATTTCCCGGAAAATGGCTTTAACTCAAGACCCTGATGTTAAGTGAAATAAGCCAAACTCAGAAAAATATCACATTGTCTCTCATAAGCAGAATCTAAAAAACATTATAAAATGTATTTATTTGTTTTACATTTTCCATGGGTGATGTTCCTTATGGTGTGAGGACTTGTTTTTTTATTAACTTTGAGAGCCACAGGCACCTGTAAAAATGTAGCAAACACAAAGTTCTATGGGACAGATAGTGTAGCAAACACAAAGTTCTATGGGACAGATAGTTCTATGGGTGTCAGGAAGAAGCTGCTGCTACTTGCCTACTAAACTGTATTGCCAAAAACCAAGGGTTTCTCCAGCAGTGCAATTCCTCCCTGAAGGGTTTTGGCTGGGTAACTCTGTAATGCAGTACAACTGGCCGGATCTGTGGACCAAGACTATGTCTGCGTCTGTCTCTTTGGTGCTGAAATGTCTGAGATGGTCTGTAAAAACCCAGCCGCTCCAAAACCACGATTCTTATGATACAAGAAATACATAGTCATTACAGGAAATTCCCGAGTTAACCAGAGATATGAGGGGAGAACAAATAGCACATCCACATTCCAGAAAAGGATAATGTCATTAGTATTTGGTTTGCTTCCTTCCAGTCTTTTTTTGTCTTGCGGATGTTCACTATGATTCAATTTATTGCTAAATCAAATCGGACATGAACGCATGCTTTCTGCAGTGTAATTGCCAAGATGGTTGGCCTCTTGTTGTAGTGTTCCTGAAAATGTTTTTAATTTAATGAGTCATTAAGTATGGCTCATTGTGGCATCTCAGTGGAATAGTGAAAAGCTGGCGTCCATGGAGACAGGTAGGAGAGATAGGGAGGGGAGAAACAGGAAATACTTTAGACCAGGACTAAAACAAGAATTTATCCATGGGGGAAGAGAAGGGCCTTATTCTTAAATTCAATGCACAAAGGACTCAACAAGTATTTTGGACTGAAATCCAAGACAGAGTCCAGTTGAACCAATAGATTCTTGTCTCTTGCATTTGAAATCATTCCTCATATTACTATGGTAATAGAATCCCAAATTTTTATCAAGTGACTACTATGTGTCCAGTCCTACACAAATGCTGAAGATACAGTGGTGAATAGATAGCCAGGATGCCTGGGCTTCACGGAGCTTATGTTCAGAGAGGGAACATGCAGGTTGAGATATTGCTAATTGTAATAAGTTCTTGGGAGAAACCAAATTAGGATTTATGTTGGAGATGAGGTAGTGTGGGGAGACGTAATTCCCACAGAGCACAGCTTCTTCATCTTTATTCATTGATGCATCCCTTAGGAGCCTTTTTAGCTGTTTTCTTTTTTCTTATCAATTCATGAAATTGTAATACTGAAATTATAGTACTGTATGTGTGTATTCTGCATGTGTACCTTGCATTATATATTCAAAGAGTAAGATTTTCCATCCCCCAAAATCAGTTTTCACCTCTCTGGGGCAGTAGGATGCCCACGGAGAACACCTGCTGCAGAGTGACTCTAAAGAACCAGGGTTTCTTGGAGAAACCTCCTTTGAGCTGGGACATGAAGAAGGTGGAAAACCGAGAAAGGAATGTTTCAGGCAATAAGACCCTTACCAGCAAAGGAAAGGGCCATCTTGGTGAACTCTGGGTGTCTTGCGGTGAGCCCCAGAGGGATTGGTATCCATACAACTTGACTGGGTCAGCAAGAAAGGGCCAGTGGAAATCTGGGTTGTACTCTCAGTGCCACAGGAGGCTGGGAGAGAGTGAGGGTCAGGAAGTGCCATGTCCTGGTCCCAAGGGCATTCTCCACCAGGGAAGAGGCTGGCATTGCTAGGGTTTGGACTGGAGGTCAGGGTCCACTGAGGGTACCCAGCAGAAGTACACAGGGCCAGCAGTACTGCAACAGGAAACCTGAAGCTGCAGCTTACTTGGCTGAGCCATGGACCATGTGAAGGAAAGTCTTGGACTTGACCTGGAATCTACCCGCATCCTTCCCTCTCCACTCAGTGTTAGTATGAGTTGCATTTGCTCCTGACTGGTCCTGCACTTCTGTCTTGCCCCTTGCCAGAGCTATCCAAGTGGACTCAGTCGTACCTAGCCCAGACCATGATCTACTAGGCTTCCTGTCCCCCCATGAACAACAGTCTCAGACCTCAACGAGGTTGGTCACTTTCCAGCCTGAGTCACACCCCAACACCTCCACCACAGAACAATCACTTCTCTGCCTCTCCATCCTTCCGAGCTGCTCGGGGTTGTGGTCCTTGACCCACCCATGCTTTCACTGTCTCGAGCCTCTTAATAAGCTGCTCCTCTATTTTGAACACCTTTCTTCCTAATTTTTACCAATCTGCTTCCTTCCCATTATTCATGTGTCAGCCTTAATATAACCTATTGGAAGGATGAGACAGGAGGATTATGAGTTCAAGCCCAGCCTAGTCAACTTAACAACTTAGTGAGATCCTGTCTCAAAATAAAAAAAAGTAAGAAAGTGCTGGGGTTGTACCTTAGTGCAGCAAGGCCCAGTACCTCAAGGGTGAACACACACGCAAACACACAAACACAACCTATTCAGAAAAGTCTTCCCTGGAGCTCCAGTGGCACAATTGGTTAGCGCTCGGTACTTATACAGAAAAGCCTTCCCTAACTCCACTTTGTAAAAGGAGACACTTCTCCCTCATCATTCTCTTTCTTTTCCTCCTGGTTGATACTCACCACTCTACTTAGCACTGGTTAAAATCATCAAGTTCTTTGTTGACTTGTGTAGATTCTTGCAACCCTTCCACCAGAATACAAAGCCTGATGAGGAAAGACGTGCACGGTGCTGTGCTGGTTATGGGGTAGATACTTTCTGAGTTCCTGTTACACAAATGAATTAATGTATTCATCAGCACAGGAATAGGGCTAGTTGGATACATTCTAGGTTTAAAGATAACTATTTGTGAGATGAATGAATAAAAGCAATGAATGCACAGCCTTTACTTAAGGAGATACTGGAAGCCACGTGTGGGGGTGCACACCTGTAATCCCAGCTCTTGGGAGGCTGAGAGAGGAGGATCAGGAGTTCAAGGCCAGCCTGTGTTACATGGTGAGTTCAAGATCAGCTTGGACTACATAGTGAGACCCTGTCTCACAAAACCAAAGCAATCAATCAATCAATAAGATATTCTTTTTTTAATTTTCTTATTTTAAAGAGAATAACAAAAAAGAACAATAGCAAAATACCAACAACATAGACAAAAACAAAATAAAACCAAAAATAATACAAATGATACAGGGTTTCAGAACAAAATGATAAGAATTAACAATGGCTGTTATATTACATATTATTTTCTTCACCGAAGTTGCTCAGATTACCAGAAGTAAGAATGTAGGGTTGATCAAATCATTAAAGAGAATAAAAAATAAAAACTAAGCAAAAAACTCACAAACAATACAGAGTTTCACTAGCCAAGATGGTTGGAATTCACCAGTGGTTGTTATATTGCATAATGTTGTCTTCAAATTAGTTGTTCACATTACCAGATATAAGCATGCAAAATTGGTCAAAAAGAAAAAAAAAATTAGGCATGAACTATTCCTTTCAATAAACCACTAGACTTTAGCAGTACAGTTATCCCTACTACCTTTCTCTCTATATATTTTCCTTTCCTTCTTCCTTTCTTTTTCTCCTTTACTTCATCCCAGATGTTCCTTCCTTTGAGCAATTTCTTTCCCTTTCATAATATCTATTGTATGTTCTGAGTTTTACTTACTTTTTCAGATTCTTACACTATGGAGACAATATGATGTTTACACATGTGGGTCCGATTTATTTCACTTATGAGTATTGTCTCTAGTTGCATCCATTTACCTATAAAAGCCTCGAGTTTATAT